GGGGGGGGGGGGGGCACTACCGAACGAGCGAGCGAGCGAGCAAATTCTGTCGACGACCTTTAAATAAATCCCCGAGTAATTCCACAATGAAAAGCCAGACAGGTACTGTCAGTTTCGAACTGTTCGAGTCGTGGATTCATCATCGCAGAACTTTCTGAAGTATTCGACTAATAGTATACGAGAGATTTTGCTAAAGTTCAAGTTGTGTTACGGGCTCGGTTGCACAATAACGAGGAGCAGAATTAGCAGCCGCGCTGGCTACGAGAACGATGCGATTTAGGTACAGAAGTACGAGAGAACGGGAATTTACTCAAATACACAATGCGAACTATTACCAAATTCTGGGTTTCTAAACAAGCCTAATGGATATTACGGAATATGATTAACGATCGTTAACAATGATTAATCTAATTGTCTCGCGCTGTATAAACCAAGAACCTTAAAACTCTACAATGAGAACTCTGTTGTTAGCGAAATAAAACAAAAAAAAAGGAATCAATCTAGAGAACGAATCGAGAAAACAAAAGAATGGGAAAATGAAAGGTACGAAGGTTTTCAGGAAGAGTAATTGTCTGAGGGACGGTTTCAGACCTATACCTATTCTCTGTTAGAGTATCATACATATACAGATAATACTCTACGTCTCTTTTACGGCCGTATAGTAAATGATGTAATCGTTGGGAAACGAAAGTGACAATTCGTAAATTCAATTCGAGAAAGCTTATGATAGAAAAGATTACTTATAGGTATTTTCTTTTCTTTTCCTTTTAAAGCATCCACTTTTTATTCTCAGATTCCGAGATTAGCTCGTTAATCTTTGAATAACTTTTAATGAAATTCAACATTTGCCAAACTGGGATTAAATACAGTCACACCAGTACTTAATGGTTTTAACAAAATTTAACCCTTGCTGTTTCCCCACGAGTAAGTTTTTACAAAGCATATCGATAGTATATCATACCAATTGTACGTAATCGATATACGTCATAAAACGTCAATATAAGCATACATAGATACATGTATACTATCTAACCTCAAAACTTGAATCTATCGATAAAAACGATATAGATATTCCTATGCTGGATAAAGCGGACCTTAAATTGAATTCATGTAGGTAGAAGTCACTATACTTGAATCTATCGGAGCATTCATTTCAGCGACCCTCTGACATTTCCTCCTTCCGTATCTAGGATCGTCCGCCATTCTACTACCCCACGTTCCATTCCGTAAGTGCAGATTCGTGTTTACATTCAGACTTCCACGAGTCGAGTTTATGTTTGCCTCGCATCTTACATTCAGTATATTCTCAGATTTATGACCAGGATTCGCACTGGGTCAGAGATAGATTCTGTCGGGATTTCTTCGTTTTCAAACGGTTCGCGTGCATGAGAGTGTGATATGCATAATATACTATACATATATAAACATATAGTATATAGATTGCATACGATACGTAGAAGATCGTATCTCGCCTGCGATCCGTAAAACAGCACAATGATTCTAGATACCGTATCGTCTCGTATTTCGCCTCGAAGTACTTTGGTTTATGCTTGTACCAGTGAATGTATTCAGGGAAATCTATCATCTTGAAGAAATTTCAATTTTAAGGGAAAAAATGTGATATAGTA